ATACACACACACACATGCATATACACACACACAGGGGGGTATGGAACTCAAATGCATAACATAAAGCAAGGCTTAACATCACTGTTACAGATTATAAAAAAATTATTTCTTTTTTTTTGTTCCATTCCACAATTGTCTGCATGAGCTTTAAGCAACCAAGGGTGAATGGACAAATTTCAGTCCTTTACTCTACAAACTCTCGCACACCCACACGGTAAACACATTGGGTTTAACAATACACTGAAACAAAATTGTCTGCAGCCGTTCAAAGCTGGACTGAAAAGGCCAGTTCTCAGCCATCCAAGGCAAATAAAACATCTGTCAGAAGTCTGAGTTACTGTGGATGTAAGCAGCCATCTGGTGACAGTAAATTGCACAGATCAAGGAGTAGCACAGAACTCCTGATTGATTCTGTTCTTCACTCGCTAAACACTGATTTTTTTTTATTGAAGATATAAGCCAGGATGTCCTTTAGCTGGTTTCTTTGCGTTTCTACGTCCATGAATAACATCCCATACAAATGTAGATATCCTGCCTTTTTCTAGACTTCAAATGGTTCCTTGAAGACTCGCTTTAATTTCAGCTTCATCTGAAAGTTTGGTCATTCTTTTGTAAACAAGTATTTGCACCAACAGCTGTCCCCTCTCGTGGCTGGTCGACGTCCTCGTTCGTCGGTCGGTCAAAGATGATGGAGGAAATAGAATTTTTCTAGTTTTCATGCTGCAGAGGTCGCAGGCTGAATGTAGAGTCATTTCCTGGTGTGAAGGTTCTCCTGGAACTTGCTGCTTGTGTATCGGATGTGGAAGCCCTTCTTGCTGATTGTGTCATCGCTGTGGAACCGGATCAGCATGGCGTCTCCTGGGGAATAAATCCCCTCTCTGGGCTAAAGAGAGGAACACAAATAAAGATATGTTAAGCAGCACTTTTGATTTTACCCATCTATTACATACAGTAGACTATGTAAGTATGTACTAATAACTGCACCCACATTCCATTATAAGGTTTAATACATCAGGATATGATCAGGCCTTACCAGGTCCTACATCTAACCTCAAGTTTGCTAAAGCATTATTTGTTTAACATAAATCAAATCTAAAATTGAGTATTTTCACGACTATAAGGCGCACTTAAACGTCTTTTTTTTCCCCTCAAAATGTGCAGTGC